CTTTCTCTAATGACTAAGGATTAGGAAGAACATTGTGAAGAAAAGAAATTCCAGAGCACTTAATTGTGCACATGCAGAAACTGTACATAGACTAAGAAGCTGTTGTCTGAACAGAATAAGGGGTACTGTGTGGCTTACAATCAGAAAAGATGTGTGTCAGGGTTGTATCCTTTCACCATAGTTATTCAAACTGTATGCTAAGCAAATAATCCAAGAAGGTGGACTATATGAAGAAGTATAGAAAAACTGTATGAAGGATAGGAGGGAGACTCATTAACAACCTGTGTTAGGCAAATGACATAATGATACTTGCTGATATTGAACGGAACTTAAAAGCACTTGCTGATAAAGATCAAAGACAACAGCCTGCAGTGTGGATTGCTACTCAAAATAAAGAAAACAAAAATCTTCACAACTGGACCAATAAGCATCATCATGAGAAACAGAGAAAAGACTGAAGTTGTCAAGGATTTAATTTTACTTAGATCTACACTCAGTGCTTGGAAGCAGCAGTCAAGAAATCAAATGATGTATTGCATTGAGTAAATGTGCTGCAAGAGACCTCTTTAAAGAGTTAAAAAGCAAAGATGTCACTTTGAGGACTAAGGTGCATCTGATTCAAGCCATGATATTTTTAATTACTTCCTATTCACTGACAATGAGTAAGAAATACCAAAGTAGAATTGATAGCTTTCAATTATGGTTTTGGAATATTAAATATGCTACAAAGTGCCAGAAGAAAGGAACAAATCTCTCTTGGAAGAAGTACAACTAGGGAGCCCCTGAGATGCTAGGATAGTGAGACTTTATCTCAAATACCTTGGACATTTTATCAGGAGAGGACTAGTCCCTGGAGAAGAACATCATGCTTGGTAAGGTAGAAAGTCAGTGAAAAAGAAGACCCTCAATGAGATGGATTGACACAGTGGCTACAAAGATAGGCTCAAGCAACAATTGTGAGGATGGCTCAGAACCAAACAGTGTTTCATTCTGTTGTACATTAGGTTGCTATGAGTCCACACTGACTTAATGGAACCTAACAATAATGACTAGCTATGGTGAGCATCTTTTGGCTAATGATTATGGACATTTCTGCATGTATTTGTTGGCCACCCACATGTCTTCTCTGATGAAGTGGCTGTTCATGTCTTTGACTCATTTTTTAATTGTATTGTCTTTTTGTTGTTGAAGTATTAAATTTTCCTATAAGTTTTAGAGATTTGTCCCTTGTCAGATATGTTGTTGCCAAACATTTTTCCCAATCTGTAGGTTTTCTACTTATGCTTTTAGAGAGGTCTTTTTATGTGCAGTGTTTTATTTTTCAGGGGATCCCAATCATCCAGTTATCCTGTATGGTTAGTGAAATTTTAGTTGTTTGATAGTATATTTATTGTATAAATTATAGCCCATATTTTTTCCATGATCTTTATAGTTTTAGATTTAACATTTAGATTTTGATCCATCTTGAGTGAGTTTTTGTATATGTGTCAGGCATGGCTCTTGTTTCATTTTTCTGTTAATAGATACCCAGTTTTGCCAGCACCATTTATTAAAGAGATCGTCTTTCCCATTTTATGGATTTTGACTTATTGGTACATGTGTCTGTCATTGTACCAGTACCAGGCTTTTTTTTTTTTTTTTTTTTTAATGAAAATATAAAAAAATTACAGTTAGATAAAATAGATTTTTTTTTTTTTTTTTTTTAACTACTGCTGGCAGTGTAGTAGGTTCTGTTCTTTTTCTTCAATTGTGCTTTGCTTATCCAGAGTCTCTTTGCTTTCCATATAAAATTGATGATTTCCCCATCTTTAAAGAATGTTTATGTGATCTGGGCTAGTTTTCCATTATATCTGTAGCTTGCTTTGGGTAGTATTTTCATTTTCATAATGTTAAATCTTCCTATCCATAAGGAGAGTATGTTCTTCCAATTATGTAGATCATTTTGTTTTCTTGCAAGAGTGTTTTGTAGTTTTCCTTATATAAGTCTTTTATAATCTTGTTAGATTTATTCCTAAATATTTGATCTTTGGGGTGGCCACTGTAAATGATACTGTTTTCCTGATTTATTTTTCAGAGTTCTCTTTGTTAACGTAAGGCATCTGATTATTTTTGTATGTTGATCTTGCACACTGCCATGTTGCTGAATCCTTCTATTCTTGTATCTTTCTTGTAGAATTTCTGAGATTTTTCTATGTACAGGATTATATCATCTGCAAATAGGGATAGTTTTAGTTCTTCCTTACCAATTTGGATGCTTTTTATTTCCTTTTGTTTCCTTATTGCTCTGGCTAAGATTATATTGAATAAAAGTTGTTGTAACAGGTTGCTTGAACAATTTCTCTTAGAAAGATCAGCATGAGGCCAGTACCCATGAGGTGGAGGTTAAAGATGTCCCAAATATCCAAACTACTATGCCACTCCATCATTTCAGACATTAACTCCTCCTCCTCCTCCCAGTAATTTCCCCAGTCTTAGGGTTCTGTTTTTCGCTGTAACGCCTCACAGAACTCACAGGCACCCAAGGGTTCGTCTTACGTAGTTAGTGGTGGAGGCTGGCGGGCTGGAGGGTCCCGGGTCCGTGAGCAGGTCTGGTGGATCCTCCCAACTCTCGGGGTTTGATGAACCTTGATCAGCAGATCAGATGACGGCTGCTGTCTCAAATCCAGGAGTGAGATGAGGATGATCCAAGACACAAAACCGGAGCAAGAGGAGAGGGAATCTTCCCAGGAGATTCGTAGGTATACCCTCAGGGAAGCTAAGGGTGGTGATTTGAATTATACCCTCCAGCAAGGCAGGACTCAAGATACATTCCACCTGTGTTGCCCCAACAGAATTAACATAAATCCCATCACAGAGTCCATTGCCAGTCATTATAGCGAATGACTACTACCAGCTGCCCAGCCAAGTTGATACCTGACCTTAACTACCACACCACCCCAAATAGGCATGGATAATTGGATTTACAAAACATCACAGAATGGAGGACAATGGCTAGAAGGGCCACATCAAGCAATTCACTGCACAGATATACTGTCTAGTTCCCATTTCAGGGGAATATTTTCAGTTTCTCTCCATATGAGAATGATGTTGGCTGTTGTTTCTGCATATATCCCGTTATTTATGTTGAGGAATTTCCCTTGTATTGCTAATTTGCTGAGTCTCCCCTTCCCCCAGAAGGGTTATTGGATTTTATAAAATGCATTTTTGCATTGATTGATATGATTATGTGATTTTTAAAAAAAAAAAAAACTTTGTTGTGCTTTGGGGAGCTCTGGTGGCATAGTGCTGAAGCCATTTGACTGCTAACCAGAAGGTTGGTGGTTCAAACACACCAGCCACTCCTCAGAAGGAAGATTGGGCAATCTACCTCCATAGTGATATTGCCTCAGAAACCCAAGGAGGGGTCGCTATGAGTCGTATCCGACTCAATGGCAGTGAGCTTTCATTTCATATTGTGCTTTAGGTGACAAACTACAAAGCAAATTTGTTTTACATTCAACAGTTCATGCACATTTCATTTCATGTCCCGATCACCATCCCCAAACATAAAAAACTCTCCTCCCCTTCTGTCCCTGTGACTACCCCTTGATGGTGCCTTCTTAACTATGCATTTCTGTCTATCCAGCTATCCCTCTATGTAAATGCTGCCCCTTTGGATGATTGCTCTAAGGGGTACATCTCCTTAGAGTAGGTGCGGGTATTGCCTCATGTTAGATGTTCTATATGTAGGTCTTTCTACTTTTGGGCTGAAAGCCAATCCATGGGATTGAGTCCATTTGTAGGCCTGAAGGGGGGTAACCATAATCTTGGGGGTTCCACCAGACTCTATCCAACCAGTAATTCTGGTCATTTTTGTGATTTTGAATTTTGTTTCAGATTTTTCCTCCCACTCTATCCATGATCTATAGTTTTGATCCCTTTCTGAGTGGTTGGAATTGGTAGCCGGGTACCATCTAGTTCTTCTGGTCTTAGAGTCATGAAAGTTGAGGTCCTTGTGGTCCATCGTATCCTTAGACTAATTGTTTCCAGATGTCTTTGATTTTTTTCACTCTTCTTTGATTCAAATGAGAGGAGACCAATAGTTGCATCTTAGATGGCCACTCAAAAGTTTTAAAGCCCCAGTCACTACTCACCAAAGTAAGTTGCAGAACAAGATTTCTGTTTGCTGTGTTGTGCCAATTGAGCATGATGTCCCCTGAGACTATGGTCCTGAGTATTTTACTCAGCATCATGTCCTCCAAATTCATCCACATTGTGAGATGATTCTTTTTTTTACTTTAACTATGTGGTGGATTACGTTGACTGGTTTTCTGATGTTGAACCATCCTTGCATACTTGGTTTAAATCCCAGTTGGTTGTGATGTATTATTATTATTATTTTGATATGGCATTGGATTCTATTGGCTAATGCTTTGTTTACAATCTTTGCATCTGTATTCAAGAGGGATATTGGTCTATAAAGGAGCTCTGGTGGTGTAGTATTTAAGGCAGTTGGCTGCTAACCAAAAGATTGGTGGCTTGAATCCACCAGCCACTCTATGGAAGAAAGATAAAACAGTCTGCTTCTATAAAGATTTACAGCCTTTGAAACCCTATAGGGGTTGCCATGAATTGGAATTGACATGATGGCAGTGAGTTTGGTTTTTCTTATCATTGTTATTATTGTTCTATAATTTTCTTTTTTAGTAGTATCTTTGCTTCTCTTTGGTATCAGGATTCTGCTTGCTTCATGGAATGAACTCAGGAGTATTCCATCCTTTCCTGTGTTATGGAATAATTTGAGTATAATTGGTGTCAACTCTTCTGTGAATGTTTGGTAGAATTCTCCAGTGAAGCTATCTGGGCCAGGGCTTTTTTGTTATCGAGCACTCCTCTTTTTTAATACTCTTCTTTTCTACACTTTAATTTTGTGGAAATGACATTGGTCTACTTAACATGTCTACTTAACAGGTCATATCTACTTAACAGAGTCATTTTTGTGGATTTGAGTCTATTCTTACCTCACAGGCATCTTGTCCTCCTTTCAAGTATCCAGCACATATCATTCCTGATGATACAGCACCACCATATACAGTAACCTGATTACATACATCATTGCTTATAATCTCTACTTGAGCTTCTCTCAGAGTATTTGGAAAGGGACCTAAAGAAGAAAAAATAAATAAATAGGTAAAGCATTTCCAGGTCATAATAGCTAATTGTTTAGTTTTGCATAATGGACCAGTGACAAAACATACATGTTGTCCAGGCTGGATCGCTGTGCTCAGATTCAAGTACATTTCTTGGGTGCCTTCTATATGCTAGATACCATATTTGGCACCTTTATTCTCACTGTCTTATTTACTCATTGCAATAACCACCAAAGATGTTGCTGTTGTTGTTGTTGTTTGCCGTCGAGTCGGCCCCGACTCATAGCGACCCCTCCTTAGGTTTCCGAGGTAGTATCACTATGGAAGTAGGATTGCCCAACCTTCCTTCCAAGGAGTGGCTGGTGGGTTTGAGCCTCCAGCCTTCTGGTGAGCAGTCAAGTGCCTTAGGCACTATGCTACCAGAGCTCCTTATAGATAGGAAAATTCTTTTTCAGATGAAGATAGGGAAGCTGAGCTTGTTAGGAGTGGAATAACCCAACCTGGAAATCTGTATCATTTATAAAGAACATAGCTATTTCCAGAATTGAGAATCCTTTAGTAAGGGCAGTATAGAGCAAGACTGTACTATCAGGAAGTAATTTAATATCAGAATGATAAAATCCCATGGCGTCATAGGAAAGACCATGTTTACTTTAATAATAGCTCATTTTGTTATTCAAATCAAATACCAGGGCAGATAAAAAAAAGAATCTTGGATAAAAAAATAGATCACATTTGATTATTTAACCAAATTTAAATTTATTGATTTATAATTCTATAAAAATTATGTTAGTTGCATGTAATATTGTTTTAGCCATTATGCTCTTCTCCTTTCTCCCTCAATGGCCTCTAGTTTTAAAGACTATTAAACTTCATATAAGACAGATGTTCTGTTCAAAGATATTTAGGAAGATAAGGAGGGGATATTCTTATGATTTAAACAGTGAGTCAGGGTAATCCTATGCTTAAGGGCTCTTGGCTTGGAAGCAGCAGATATGAGTTTGAATACCATTTATACAATGTATGAGACATGACCTTGGGACAGTTACTTAATCTTACTAAGCATCATTTTACTCGCCTATAGAAAGGAGAAAATAACAGATGTTTATTCTGAGGGTTGAAAAATAATGCGTCTAACCAGTTGTGACAATACTTCATTTTATATTCTTAATGAATGGAAGCAATAAGAAAGTACTGTAGGGATTAGGAATCTATATTTAAAACCCACATGGACCAGTTGATGGTCAGTGTCTGAAACCAAACTTCTGTGTTAAAAAAGTGCAGTGAGAAACTTCAAGCTTTTAGAAAAGGAGATCTAGGCTTCTCAGGATTTTGTCACTCACTGTAAAGAAAACTAATTCTCTGGGTTAAAATTGGTAGGTTAACTCACCTTGAGTTAACCCTTTTGGTGAAAAACTAAGTATAACTTCTCTACACTCATGAATGTTTACTTAAAATGATTCTCTACCCCCATGATAATTTTTAACCATGAAGGGTCACCATTTTTTCCTCCCCATCTCTGATTTTGTTTGAAATGGTCTCAATAAGAGAACCTGCTCCCTATCTGTTCTCTCTCTATATATATTTTAAAATCTGTATTTGTTTGTATAGGTGGCTCAGTAATACTCTGTGCCTTCTATAATTAGCATTTGAAAATTTTAAGTATTCCCAAGGCTTAAATAAATTGTATTCCAACCACTTATTATTTCTGTGTACTTGTTTTCATTTTAGGTATTTTGTCTAGGATACTTAGTTTTAAATTTCAAATGTTTATAGCTCAAAAAGGAGCTCTGGTAGCATAGTGGCTAAAGCACTTGACTGCTAACCAGAAAGCTGGCAGTTCAAACCCACCAGCCACTCCTCGGAAGGAAGGTTGGGCAATCCTACTTCCTTAGTGATACTGCCTCGGAAACCCAAGGAGGGGTCACTATGAGTCGGGGCCGACTCGACAGCACATAACATAACATAGTTCAAATGCTTTAGTTTCTATTTAAAAAGTCCAATCCAGCTGCTTAACAAATATAACAAACTATTTTATATATTCTGAGTAGTAAGTCTTGAGGTAGTGGAACGTTTCCCTATTGCAAGTGTCTGGTAACACGATTTCTAATCAGATGTTGTTGGATAAATCTTAGGAGATGGAGAAGAAAGCCTGTGTTCTTTGTCACAGTTTCAAAATGCAGGGGGGAAAGAAACCACACAATCAAATGCCTAATATTTAACCTTAGTGTAATGTGTTGCAAATTCATAATATTATTTATGAAAAATTTGCAATTCGTTAGATAGCTAAATGCACAGTAATCTGCACACTTTAGAGAATTGAATGATTCATGATGAAGCTACAAATCACTCCTTAACTACTCCTCTGACAGGAGGCAGTGTTGAGCCTAATTAGAATCTCACACAAAATAACTCACTGCTGTTGAGTTGGAGCCAACTCATATTGACCCCTCCTTGGGTTTCCAAGGTAGTATCGCTACAAAGTAGATTGCCTAATCTTCCTTCCAAAGAGTGGCTGGTGGGTTTGAACTGCCAGCCTTCTGGTTAGCAATCAAATACCTTAGACTTTAGGCCACCAGAGCTCCTTAGTTCTAATTAGGTTCTAGGGGAAAAAAAGAAAAGTTTCCATTGAGTGATTCTGACTTATGGTGACCCAATGTGTTTCAGATTAGAACTGTGCTCCATGGGGTTTTCAATGTCTGATTTTTCTGAAGTAGATCTCCATACTTTATTTCAAAGCACTGCTGGGCAGACTCAAACCTCCAACCTTTCAGTTAGTAGTTATCTGTTATCTGTTCAGTTAGATCATTATCTGTTTATACCACCCATGGATTTCTAATTATAGTCTAGAAGAAGTGTTATGGTGCTACCCAAGAGGGAGATACGTTCTATTTCCACTCCAAGCAGAAGTAACTTGCTTTGCCCCAGAGGATTTTGTTCCCTATAATACTCATCACTATTGCATACAGAACAATAAAAATCCCTACAGAAATGCAAAAAAGACATCTCAGGTTATAACAACAGTGCAGCAACCTGGACCCAACATCAGAATATTGCAGTGAATATTGAAGACAAGCAAAAATTTCTGTAGAAATTACTGGACAAAAACTCAGTAGATGAAAGATATACATTGCCATGGTACATAAAGGAAGACTACAGCTTCATAATAAGGGCCTAGATCAAGAAGGAGATATTTGAAGGCAGATTAAGCCATATGTAAAAAGTCCAACTAAAGGACTTATAGAAGAACTGGAGATTTATATCAGGAACTAAATTTCTGTCTTTACAGTTTACTGTGTACTTTTGTTGTTATTGGGTGTCATTGAGTCGATTCTGACTCATAGAGACCTCATGTGACTAGACCTGCCCCATAGGGTTTTCTGGGCTTTCATCTTTGTGGAAGCAGATCACCAGATTTCTTTCATAGAGCTGCTGGATGAGTTCACACCATCGACCTTTTGATTAGGAGCCAAGCACTTAACCATTGTGCCACCAGTGCTCTCTGTGTATTGTTAAGTGTGGTAAAATGTATCCTTTCACCATACTTATTCAATCTCTATGCTGAGCAATTGGACTGTATGAATAAGAGCATGGCATCAGGATTGGAGGAAGACTCATTAACAACCTGTGATAAGCTGATGACACAACTTTGTTTGCTGAAAATGAGGATGACTTGAAGCACTTACTAATGAAGATTGAAGACTATGGCCTCCCATATGAATTAACCAAACAAAACTTACTGCCATCGAGTCAGATATGACTCATAGCGACCCTTCCTTGGATTTCCGAGGCGGTATCACTACGGAAGTAGATTGCCCAATCTTCCTTCTGAGGAGTGGCTGGTGGGTTTGAACCACCAGCTTTCTGGTTAGCAGTCAAATGCCTTAGGCATTAGGCCACCAGAGCTCCCTGCAGTATGGATAACACCTCAATATAAAGAAAACAAAAATCCTCACAACTGGACCAATAAGCAACATCATAATAAATGGAGAAAAGATTGAAGTTGTCAATGACTTCATATTACTTGGTTCTACCATCAACACTAATGGAAGCAACAGTCAAGATATTAGACAATACACAGCATTGGGCAAATCTGATGCAAAAAGAACTTTTTCAAGTGCTGAAGAGCAAAGATATCTCCTTGAAAACTAAAGTGTGTCTGACACAAGCCATGGTATTTTCAATCGCCTCAAATGGATGTGAGAGCTGGACAATGAATAAGGAAGACTGAAGAAGAGTTGATGCTTTTGAGTTGTGTTGGCGAAGAATGCTGAACTAAAAGATCTGTCCTAGAAGAAGTGCAGCCAGAATGCTCCTTGAAAGTGAGAATGCCTAGACTTTGTCTCACTTTTGTTGATCATGGTGTAAGAAAGGACCATCCCCTGGAGAAGGATATCATGCTTGATAAAGTGGAGCATCAATGAAAGATGGGAAGGCCCTCAACAAGATGATTGACATAGTGACTACAACTCTGGGCTCAGGTATAGCAAGTATCGTTGAGCTGGCATGGGACTGGGCAGTGTTTTGTTCCACTGTACATAGGGCCACTATGAGTTGGAGATGACTCGATGGCACCTAACAACAACAACAAAATGTCATACTTGCCAAATTCATGAAGTCCCAGGCTAAACTGTTCCACAGATACATGGATCATTTAATATTTAATGATCAGATGAGAACTTAATATTATTAAATTATTATTAACTACAATAATCTGAATATTAATGATATTTAATAATAATATTTAATTTGAGGTAAGGAAGAACCCATTCAATTGCTTATTTAAGGCTATTTCTGTTTAGTTCATGACAGTACAGAAGCTTATTATTACTAATGATAAAATATCACTATTACATACTTTGGGAGCTCTGGTAGCATAGTGCCTAAGGCACTGGACTGCTAACCAGAAGGCTGGCAGTTCAAGCCCACCAGCCACTCCTTGGAATGAATGTTGGGCAGTCTACTTCCATAGTGATACCTCCTCAGAAACCCAAGGAGGGGTCTCTATGAGTTGGGGCCGACTCGACGGCAAATAACAACAACAACAACAATCACATACTTTATTAATCATGCAGCCATAGAAGAATAGAAAGAAAAGAAATGATGTAAAAAATACTTTAAGTAACTTTTTGGAAAGAAAATTACCACCTATTTCCTAAATAGTCCATAAAAAAGACAATAAAAATAGAGAGTATGTAGCAGTACAGGCCTAGTTTTCATAATTCATCATATCTGGTTTTATTGACTTTTGATTTTTCCCATAACTGTCATGAGATGTGTTGACTTAATCTCTTATTCTATTTATTATTTTGATTTTGTATCTTATTTCATATCACTACTCTAATAAAGAATGGATTTGTTTTGTTTTGTCTGGTTGTTTTTGTTGAGATACTCACCATTTTTTTTCAAGGCTCCCCATCCAGTGACAAACACTTTACTCTTAGGCAAGACTTCAGAAGTGGCATCAGGGAGACAAACTCTGTGCACGTCATCAGAAAATATGACCGGGGCCGCGAGCTTCACCACAGCGATGTCATCTTCATGCTTATGGGCAGCATAGTTTTCATGAATGATAATTGACTGCACATTTCTTCTCATTAGTGGAGGGTTTAAAGTTGTTCCAAAACTAGCCATCCATAGTCTAGGATTTTTATAACTGATCACAAATTAAAAGGATTAAATTTTGTTCATTTATGATCTAAAGTTGCCTAGAACTCTACATGGGCTTGGGACATAAGGGTAGGAGAAGGGCAAATTTTTGAGGTGATGGTTGATTGGGATCTTCCCACCTTTTTATCTGAAACTTCTCCCTTAGGACTTGTCTGCTTTCTTCTAGCTTATAAAAAAATCTTTTGCTAAAATAGCTTAAATTCTTTCTCCGGCCAGAGAGTTTATATTTTAAAAAAGGGAACAATATGTAATTGTTATAAAAGTAACACAGATTAGTTAAAGAAAATATAAATAAGTAAAACTTGCTATGTATACTTACACACACACACACACACACATATATATATATATACACATATACACTCGTATCCATGCAATATATAAATATACATATAGCTATGTAGATAGATGATAGATCAATTGCTAGGTAAAAGGATAGATATATAAATTGTAGAAATACTTTATATGTTATTTTCTCCTGCTTTCATTTAATTAGCATTTTATCCAGAATATTTTCTGATTTTATATGAATTACATTAGTTACTGTGTCTTTTTTATTATTTTCAAGGACCCCTATATTAAATCTTCAAAAAGCTTTTGTTGTTGTTATGTGCTGTCGAGTCGGACCTGACTCATAGTGACCCCTCTTGGGTTTCCGAGGCAGTATCACTACAGAAGTAGATTGCCCCATCTTCCTTCTGAGGAGTGGTGGTGGATTTGAACCGCCAGCCTTCTGGTTAGCAGTCAAGTGCCTTAGGCACTATGCTACCAGAGCTCCCTCAAAAAGCTTACTCCCCCCAAAAAACAAAAATGAAGCACAACACCAAAAATAATCATATGACATCCAAACCAAACCAAACTCACTGCTGTGGAGACGATCCAACTCATAGTGACCCTTCCTTGAGTTTCTGGGGTGATATCACTACAGAAGTAGATTGCCCAACCTTCCTTCTGAGGAGTGGCTGGTGGATTTGAACCACCAGCCTTCTGGTTAGCAGTCTAATGCCTTAGGCACTATGCTGCCAGAGCTATAGATAGATATAAATTTTGTGGGTTAGGATACTAGAGTGGCAGAATAAAAAAAAAAAAAAAAACTCCACAATATATCTCAAGAAAACTGATATGTTCAAATTTTGACTGTGGTAGCTTGTTCTTAGTTACTATTGAGAGTGCTAGGGAATATAATTCCAATTAGAACTAATGATATTCTAATTTTTCCTACCATTTTTCAGTAATTGTTGCTTCTTTCTAAGCCTTCTGAGTAATAATGGATACAATTGAGGAGGCTTAAGATATTCATAAGGAGCCCTGGTGGCACAATGGTTAAAACACTCAGCTGCTAATTTAAAGATCAGCCATTTGAACCCACTCAGCAGCTCTACAAGAGAAAAGACCTGGCAATCTGTTTCCATAAAGGTTACAGCCTAGGAAACCCTATGGGGCCGCTCTACTCTCTAAATTGGGTTTCTGTGAATTGGAATGAAGTTGAGGACACAGAACAATAAAATACTCATGGAGTCCCTGGGTGGTGCAACAGTTAATGTGAGGTTGCTAAAACACCCACTCTATTGCTAACTGAAAGGTTGGTTGTTCAAGTCCACACAGAAGCATCTTGGAAGGAAGTCCCAGATTTACTTGAAATAAATCAGCCATTGAAACGTGAAGAACTGTTATACTATGATACACAGAATCATCTCAACAGTAATTGGTTAAGATGTCCATGAAGAAAAAGAAAAGGTAATAAGGATTATAGAATGTGAAGGTTAGAGAGAGGTGGAGTTGGTGATCTTGCTGGTACAGACTGAGAACTTACTTGTCAAAGCAGTGAGCAGCAGTCAGGAGCCACTCCTTGCTGATCAAAGATGCTCCACAGAAATGGATACCATCTATTTGCAGGCTGGCTTGCCATGGCCAAGCAGCTTCCTTTGCTTCTACACCAGGGGCAATTCTATCCATGGAAGAGGATGGGGACTCCCTCCCTATACCGCAATCTGTCAGAAGGAGAGAAGTCCAAATGAGTACAGGTATGTTTGGCACTCAGTTATGGGTATAGTCATTTGTAGATGTGCTCTGATTTAAAGAAAGGTTAATTTTATGTAATGTTGATTTTACATTGCATATGTAATTTCACATGAATATGTAATTTAACATTATGTATAACAAGTATTATTCAGATTAAAGAAGGATGAACACTATTCTAATAAACAACACCATCTCTGGTGCATTTGATGCAATTTCACTTTGAATTTTGTTTTTTCAGATTTTTCTGGGTCATTTTTTACATACAGCAGTTTACAGCAGTGCTATTTGACATTTTGGAGTGCACGCTATAGATGTGCACTGTGTAAATGTGTATACAATGTGTAATACACAGTGTGTAAGTCTAAATGCACACTGTTTAGAAAAAAAGTAATTTTTACTCATTTAAAATACTCACTTAATATTTCAGCCCTTATATTACTATAGCATAAATGTGAAAGTTCACATATTAAAGTTGATGGGCATATGCAAATTTTAAACAAAATTTTCTACATTCACAAAGTGAATGAAATTAAAATAAATAAGAAAAAATAAAAGGAAATTGTTAAAGCAGTCATCAGTGATGCTTTCTTGAAGAAGAGCAAGCATTTCCAAGTCCTGCCTATTGTTAATAGTATTTCTTCCCCTTGACAGAGATGATAACACTTTATTCAGATACTATATGCTTTTGAGAAATATGAAAGGTGGAAGTGGAGAAGATCTAATGTGTGTTTTGAATTTTGTTCTTTAATTTATAAAAATCTCAGTGATATTCTTGAACTTACAGCTGTTCAAAATGTGCTCTGCTTGTACTTTGTTCACATCTGGAAAAAAACAAGATGATTTTTAAGCAAGGAAACAATTATAACTTAAAATATTATGCTTACATAACATGAATGTTTCTTGTTGGAAGGAACTACATTAGTCAGGAAAATATTACTTTAAAGGCCACAGAATAAAATTCTACACAAAAGAGCACCCTAATTATAAATAAATAAAACTCCTTTCTGACTATATATGGGCTACAGGATCTCCTGGTTCATGATTATAAATGCATCGACACAGAGAAGAATATCATTTGCCAAGAAGGAGAGCTGCATCTAGTTAATTAAATGACATACTAATTTATTGAAATACAAGTTAAAACAGAAGAAGAGGTAGGACTAGTTTTACAAATGAACTATTATATGTTTGGAGATAGTCTTCATTCTCACAGTATGTAATGATAATGGCTTTGAAAAAATCTTGAAATCCTGACATCTAGTTGTGGTCCATAGATGGTCCCTGTGGAATCAAAGGCCAACACTGTACTTAAAAAATCCTCAAAATTTCTTACCCTATTGGTCATTTATTTGTAAAGTTCAATAGAGGGATACATGATCAGTGTTTGTTCCCAAAAATTATTTGAATAATTTCTTATGGTAGATAGTATATGGAGCACCTAGATGCACATTTGTTAAGGTGAAAGCTGGTGGGTATTTTTGTTAAGCCTGAAAATGACTGAGTCATCAATTTAGGTCAGTGAGGAACATTAGACATCTGCAGAGAACTGTGTTTTGGAAATTTATTAGAGTATTAGAGTGTTCCCCTTAGATTTAGATTTTTCTGATAAGAATAAAAACCCTCTAATGGCTTCCCTAACTTCTAGAATAACCCAAAACTTTCTATCTGGTTTTATGTGAATTGGTTCTTATTTATGTGTTTGATGCCATTCTGAACTTCTCTTACCCAGCACTCTATGGAAACCTTGTCTGAAGTCTTTGCTATGGCTTTCCCCTCAGCCAGAAATGCTCTTCTGTTGGCCTTTGCAAGGCTGACCATTAAGACTTCAGTTTAAAAAGCCTGTCTTCAGAGAGGTGTTCCATGTCAATTTAATCTAAAGTAGCCTCCCACTATTTTTGGCACAGAGTTTAATATTATTTTATGTTCCCTTGTTTGTTTACTTGTTTATTAGATCGTTATCTTCTCACCCACATGAGGATATAAATTCTGTGAATACAGAGACCTTAGTTCTTGGCATAGTTGTTGAATGAATTTATGGGCAATAATGATAACTAGTATTTTACTAACTGCTGTGTACCAGATACTGTGCTAAGCACTTTCCATTAATTACCTATTATATCTCAAGAAAAAAAAAATACTATAAAGCAAGTCTGTTAAGGATCTAATTTAAATAATTCTTGAGAAAAAAAGCTTGTCCTGCAAACTATTTTATCATAAAGTCAATTATATTTTGGTACTATCCTCTCTAGGTTATGGATCAATGAGGGAGAAAGGAGTTGAGGAATGGTTAGCTCACAGAAAATTTAACCTTGACCCTAGGCTCTTGTCTATGTAGAACCTGTTAAGCAACTTCTATGACAGCTATGTCTCATGTGTGATCATTATCTAATAGATATGCTCATTCCTTCAGGATAAAAAGGGTTGCATTGGTCCAGTTTCTGAAACAAGATGTATAGACTCACTTTTTTTGTGTTTCTCCTCTATAAATACATTAAGTACCCCCCCAAAATATCCATCAGATAATGGTAAAAGAGCTCTGAAAACTGAAAGGAAGAAATTAGACTAGCCAGACACTTTAAGACTTTAGGAATAAGCTCTGATAGTTTATGTATTTGTTGTTAAGTGCCGTCAAGTTAGCTCCAACTCATAGCAACCTTATGTACGACAGAACTGGTCCTGTGCCATCCTCACAATCCTTGCTGTGCTTGAGCCCATCACTGTAGCCACGGGGTCAGTCCATCTCATTAAGGCTCTTCCCCTTCTTCTCTGACCCTCTACTTTACCAATCATGGTATTTTTCTCCAGGAAATGCTCCTATCTGAATACATGACCAAAGTAGGTGAGATGAAGTCTGATCATTCTCACTTCTATGGAGTGTTCTGGCTACACTTCTTCCAGGATAGATTTGCTCATTCTTCTGGCAGTCTTTTTCAGTAATCTTTGCTAACACCACAATTCAAAAGCATCAACTCTTCTTTGGTCTTCCTTGTTCATTGTTCAACTTTCACAGGCATGTGAGGCAATTTAAAATAACCATGGCTTGGATTAGGCACACTTTACTCTTCAAAGTGACATCTTTGCTTCTTAACATTTCAAAGAGGTCTTTTGGAGCAGATTTGCCCAGTACAATATGATGTCTGATTTCCTGACTGTTGCTTCTTGAGTGATGACTGTAGATCCAAGTAAAATGAAATCCCCTGACAACTTCAATCTTTTCTCCCTTTATCATGATGTTGTTTATGGGTCCACTTGTGAGGATTTTAATTTTTATTTATGTTGAGGTGTAATCCATACTGAAGACTGTAGTCTTTGATCTTCATCAGTAAGTGCTTCAAGTCATCTTCACTTTCAGCAAGCAAGGTTATATGATCTGCCATATCACAGGTTGTTAATGGCTCTTCTTCCAATCTTGATGCGGTGTTCTTCTTCATACAGTTCAGATTCTCAGATTATTTGCTCATCATATAGATTGAATAATTATGGCAAAAGGATACAACCCTGATGTACACCCTTCCTGATTTTAAAGCATGCAGTATCCACTTGTTCTGTTCAAATGACAGCCTCTTAGTTTATGGAGTCCCTGAGTGGTGCAGTTAAGTGCTCGGCTATTAACTAAAATGTTGGTAGTTCATTTTCACCCAGAGTTACCTACAAAGGTAGACCTGGCAATATACTACAGAAAAATCAACTACTGAAAACCCTATGGAACAACAGCATGGAACACAGTGCTACTCTGACGCACATGGGGTTGCCATGAGTCTGACTTGATTCCATAGCAAGTTGTTTTTTTAAAACAATCAGAAAACTATACAAAATAATAAATTTTAAAAATTTTATAAACAAACCAAAATAGTATATTTTAAAAAAAGTTCACGTAACCCATGAGAAGGCAAGAACAAAGAAACAGGAACAAGACACAAAGAGAATAAACAGAAAACAAAAAATATATTCAAACTTAAGCTCTCTATCTTGATAATTAATATGTAAAAGATGTAATTATACCAATTAAAAGATAGATATTGGCAATGTAGGTTAAACACGATTGAATTATTCACTTGAAACACTGACATCGAGAAGTTGAAAGCAAAAGATGAGAAAAGATATATCGTGTAAACATTAACCTTCCAAAACAAGAGTGGCTATATTCATATAAAACAAAGTAGACTTCAGAACAAAGAAAATTACTAAGTATAAAGAGGAACCTAACATGATGAAATAATCAATTTACCAAGAAGATACAAAAATCCTAAGTGTGTATACACCAAATAGCAGAGCTTTGAAATAAATGAAAAAACAAAACTGATAGAGATTAAAGGAAAAATGTACAAATCCACAGGTATAGTTTTAGATTTCAACACCAAAGCTCTCAACTCAACAGAAAATCATCTAGGATATAGAACTGAACACACAATCAACCACTAAGATCCAATAGAAATTTATAGAACATTCTACCCAACAACAGCATTTTTTTTCCCCAAGTTCTCATGGAACATGCATTAATATTGACCAGATCCTAGATAATAAAATGAACCATAACATATTTTAAATAATTGAAATCATACAGAGTCTGCTTTTTGTCCATGTCGTTGTTGTAGGTGCTGTCGAGTCGTCTCCGACTCATAGCAACCCTGTGCACAGCAGAATGAAACACCGCCCAGTCCTGCGCCAGCTCCGCGATCCTTGCTATACTTGAGCCCATCACTACTGCCACTGTGTCAATCCATCTTGTTGAGGGCCTTCCCCTCTTTTGTCAACCCTCCACCTTACCAAGCGTGACATCCTTCTCCAGTGAATAGCCCCTTCTAACAACATGACCAAAGTATGTAAGACAAAGTCTGGCCATAGTTGCTTCCAAGGAGCATTCCAGCTGCACTTTCTCTAGGACAGACTTGTTAGTTCTTTTATCAGTCCAATGTACTTTTGGCATTCTTTGCCAACACCACAGCTCAAAAGCATGAGGACAAAAAATTCTTCTTTGTTCTTCCTTATTCATTGTCCAGCTCTCACATGCATATGAGGCAATTGAAAATACTGTAGCTTGTGTCAGGCGCACCTTAGTCCTCAAGGAAACATTTTTGCTCTTCAGCATTTGAAAGTGGTCCTTTGCAGCTGATTGGCCCAGTGCTATATGTAGTGCCTAAGGCACTTGATTGCTAACCAGAAGACGGGGGGTTCAAACCCATCAGCCACTCATCCGAAAGAAGGTTGGGCAATCTACCTCTGTAGTGATACTGTCTTAGAAACCCAAAGAGGAGTCATTATGAGTTGGGTCTGACTCAAGCTCAAATAACAACACCATATGTTGTCTGATGTCATGACTGCTGCTTCCATTGGCATCAATTGTAGAACCAAGCCATGTGAAATCTTTGACAATTTCAATCTTTTGTCCATTTATTATGACACTACTTATAGGTCCAGTTTTATTTTTTTTTATATTGAAATGTAATCCATACTGTAGCCTGTATTCTTCAATCTTCATCAGTAAGTGCTTCAAGTCATCCTCACTTTCAGCAAGCAAAGTTGTGTCGTCAGCATATCACAGGTTGTTAATTATTCTTTCTCCGATCCTGATGCCACATTCTTATTCATATAGTCCACCTTCTTGGATTATTTGCTCAACATATAGATTGAATAAGTATGGTGAAAGATACAACCCTGATGTACTCCCTTCTTGGTTTTTAACCATGCAGTGTCCCCTTGTTCTGTTTGAATGACAGCCTCCTGGTTTATGTACAGGTTTCTCATTAGTACAATCAAGTGTTCTAGCATTCCCATTCTTCTCAATGTTATCTACAATTTGTTATGATCCACACAATCAAATGCTTTGGCATAGTCAATAAAACAAAAGTAAACATCTTTCTGGTATTTGCTGCTTTCAGCCAAGATCCACCTGACATCAGCAATGATATCCCTCGTTTCATGTCCTCTTCTGAATCCAGCTTGCACTTCTGGAAGTTCTCTGTCAATATACTGCTGCAACCATTTTTGAATTATCTTCAGTAAGATTTT